CAGAGGCCATAGTAGATATATGGACCATAGACTTGAAGACTCCTGCATGACTGCATGACTCCATGACTCCATGAATCCATAGACGTTGACTTGCGACAATTCATAGTCCAAAGACTTGGCCTCTATGGCATTTGCAAGCTGCATGACTCCATGAATTCTTAAGCTCCATGACTGCATGGCTCCTTAGACTCCATGACTCCATGACTCCATGACTCCATGACTCCATGACTCCATGACTCCATGACTCCTTAGACTCCTTGGACTCCATGACTTCATGGCTCCTTAGGCTTTATAGTAGACCCATAGATCTGCATCAGCAGTATCCATAGTGATCCCCACTAAATCCCTTCAAGGCGCCAAAGACCGCTCTCCGCACATTGCAGATTCTCTACTGCCCACGACTAAAGCTGCGCATCTCATGGAGCTCCTCTGGAAGTTTTGTGGGCGCAGGAAAGAGCGAGTTGCGGCGGTATTCCTGGGCCTTTCGGGAGATGGTTCTCCGGAGGCGGCCCGTGAACCCCCCGCTGGCCGCATCGTTGAAAGAAGTGGCTGTGGGTTCTGCGCTGATGGTGCCTGCACGGTTCGATGCGTGGTTCTCTTGCACCATATCGCGTTTCTGCATGTCTGCATCGGGCAACATGATGGCTCTGTCCAATGCGTAAGGGAGTCCTCTGTGGCGGCCTCGGATCATCATAGCTATGATGATCAACTTCGAGAGTGTGGTGAACTTGTAGGAGAGCGACTGGTCCACGCCCGGGTAGCCGAGCGAGAGCCCCACGGTTCCGTAGGCACTGACAATCTCGAACAAGATCAGGAAGATGGTGAAGCGCAAGTCGCCGGCCTCAATCTTGCTGCTCTCGGCAATGCAGATGACGAAGAGGCCGAGGAAAATGAACCACAAGTCGAACGACAACTGGTTCCGCAAGTGCGTGCCGATGAAGCTCTTGGGCGTGCTCTCGGGCTCGTGCTCAGGCTCGTCGGCCTTCAAGTAGATTCCCAACGACTGCTCCTCGTAGACGTTGGTGCGGCGGATGGAAATGGCCAACGGAAGCACGGCAATGTACATCATGATCATGTAGCTGACCTGCACGGACGGGTGGAGCTCGGACAAGTCGACCACGGAGAAGCCCGCGGTCCTGGTGCTGAAGGCCTGGAACAAGCCGTCGAGGATGCGGTAGCCGAGCGGGATGGCCTTCAAGTAGTCGTTGTTCAAGTCGAGCACGATGAACAAGACCAAGTCCGTGCCGTTGAGCACCACCAAGATGAACAACAACCACCACGTCGGGATGGACGGGAAGAGCAACGTGAAGCAGCGGCGCGGGTGGTCGAGCAAGAAGCCAAGCAGCTCCTTGTACAAGGACAAGGGCCGCGCGGTCTTGAACATGACCCAGATGACAAAGCGGAGGAGGATCGGGAAGCCGGTGTTGCCGATGACGATGAAGAAGCTGGACACCACCAAGACGTACACGCTGCGGCTGTACGAGAACATGGAGTTGGGCGTCAAGGTGAGCCCCAAGTCGTTGAACACGGACTGCGCCGTGAAGAAGCCCCACCACGTGGGCGAGAGCCCGAAGCCGCGCATCTCCGCCGCGTACGCCGGCGCTACGTTGATGAAGCCCACGAAGAAGCAGAACGCGATCACGTGCGAGCCGATGTAGAACGCGAAGATGATCTTGATCAAGAGCTTGATGGCGCGGTACTCGACGCCGCCGAGCTCTTCCTTCTGCTCGTCCGTCAAGTGCACGAACGTGGAGTTGCGCCCGACGGTGGGCGTCCACGAGAGGTAGTTGGTGCTCATGACCTTGGCGAGCGGCGCGCCGCCGGCGTCGCCGTACTCGTCCTCCTCGTCGTCATCGTGGGGGGCGCGCGGCAGGCCGGCCGTGTCGAAGGCCTGGACCACGGGCGTGCGCCACTTGCGCAAGCCGATGCGGCTGCGGGTCTGGGAGGGGCGGTTGTGGCGGTCGATGGTGGGCTCCTGGGCGAACTTGGTTTTCTTGCGGGGGCCGAAGGGCTCCTTGAAGAGCATGTGCGGGGCGAGCGGGGGCGACGGGCCAGAGTCGGAGCCGGAGTCGGGGTCGAGGTCGGGGTCGGAGTCGGAGTCGGAGTCGAGAACCGCATGCTCGATGTCCAGGTCCGAGAAGCCGGCCTGCGGCAACGGGCCGTCGAGGTCCGAGCTGATGGACGCCAGGTCGCTTACGCTGTCGAAGGAGACGGAGTCGGGGTGCTGCTGGGGCCGGCTGGGGGAGGCGCCGTCCAAGTGCTGGTCTTTTCCCGTTTTGTCGTCCATGTCCTGGTAACTCGCCATTTTCCCGTCCATGTCCTGGTAACTCGCCATTTTCCCGTCCAATCCCTCGACCCCGCCATCAAAGCCATTGCTGTCCTTCGGGCCGTTCCTGCCATCAAGGCCCTCCGGAGGGCCCGCCCCACTTCCATCGGCGGCCCCGGGCTCGCCGTCGCGGTCCCGCCCCGTGGACACGCGGCGGCGCATTGTCAGCGGCGCGCTGTTCGAAAGCGTCCGCCGCAAGGCGTCCCACGTCCTGCCCCGCGCCCGGCCCGGCATGCGCCACTTGGTGGGCTTGCGCAGGCCCGGGAAGTGCAAGCGCGTGGTGTAGATGGGCGTGTTCAAGTCGCGCTCGATCTCGTTGGGCGACTTGATCACCAAGACCTCGCCGTCAAGCCCGCTGTCCTGGCGCTTCTTCTGCTGGAGAAGCGCAATGGACTTGTACATGTCGGACGGGTCCACCTCCTGCGTGCGCTTGGCCGGGCGGGGCAAGTCGGCAAAGGTGATGCCGTCCGGCGGCGGGCCGGCACCGGGCCGCGCGTCCAGGTCCGAGGCCGGGCCGGCCAGCTTGGCGGACGACATGTCGGTGCGTGTGCTGGAGCCCGTGTCGCCAGCAGGGCTCGGGGCACGCGGCTTTTCCGCGGGCGGGCGCGGCGGGTCCAAGGACCGCGTGCGGGCGGCCAACGTGGCGTTGCGGCGCATCTTGAAGTTCATCTTGGACGACTCCTTGATGTTGTCGAAGTAGCGCTCGAACCAGTAGAGCCGCACGAAGAGGAGCGAGCCGTGGATGAAGATGGGCGTGGTGAGCGTGGCCGTGAAGTACACGATCACCTGCTGCGAGAGCCGGAGCTGGTTCAAGTTGATGGTGTTGAGCCCGGCCTGCGTCAGCGCGCCGCTCATGAGGAAGAGCACGTCGATGTAGTCGAAGCTGGTGATGGGGTACACGATCACGGACGTGAGGAACGCCATGAACAAGATGTACGTGTAGTGTGCGGCGCGGAAGTTGGGGATCACCTTGACCACGTAGGGATGGAGCGTCAGCGTGACCCGGTGGATGTGGTCCCTGATGGCCGTGCCGTACGACCGGTCTGCGGGGAAGAGCCTGCGGGCTTTTCTGCGGAGACCGCCGAGCGCCATTTTCGGGGGGCTGCGGCCGGTGGCTTTGTGGTGCTAGCGGCGTGCTTTTGGAGACTGCTCGTGGCTTTCGGTCTCTCTGTGATGGCCCGGTACCTTGGTTCCGGGTGCTTGCGTTGCGTCTTGTTCTGCTGTCTTTGGGACTGCTTCTTTGTGTTCTGCTTGATTTCGGGTTTCCTCGATTTCGGGTTCCTTGATTCCGTTTCTTGGTTCTCCTTGTTTTCGGTTCCCTTGATTTCGGGTTTCCTTGATTCCGTTTCTTGGTTCTCCTTGTCTTCGGTTCCCTTGATTTAGGGTTTCCTTGATTTGGGGTTCCTTGATTCCGTTTCTTAGTTCTCCTTGTTTTCGGTTCCCTTGATTTCGGGTTCCCTTGATTCCGTTTCTTGGTTCTCCTTGTTTTCGG